ATAACCGTTCGTAGTACCATCCATTAAAAAATACATGTCGCACATCATCAGGTAATATTTGGTAGTGTCATTAATATCATAGAGAGAAGGATCGGTGTCTAAATATGTTCCATATATCAGTTTATAGCCATCTTTTGTTGTTTCTTCCAGAGGAAAATATGTCCTTTTTAAATCAAAATAATTTATCATAATTTATTAATTTATCAGTATATATACTGCTCAAAAAAATTATGGCATAGAAAAATTTTGGGCAAAAATTGATCAACTTTGACTAACGGTAACTCCGCGAAAAATCATCGTAGAATGATGAACTTTTTTCAAATGAAAGTTTGAAATTTCTACTTTAAGGTACTGTGGGTCGATTTTAAATTTAATGCACCCCTGCTACTGTAAACTTTTAAATCTGAGAGCATGTTTTCCATTCTAAAAATTGCAAAGTTTGACGGAATGCATGGATTTGCTAAAATTTTTCTCGAAGATGCGGTTTACAGCGTCATAAAGTTTGAACCTTTCTCTTTTACATTTTACAGAATTTATTATTTTTCAGCATAAATCTCAAAATGTGTATATTCAAAAAATTTCAAATATTACAAATTAACATTTTACACACACATTAACAAGTTATTACTTGTATTTGCTCAGTAACATTTACAAAATCGTTTCTTACATGACTTGGGAGGCCTGTCTTATCCTTTTTTCCCCGAGCGGATCCCGATTGCAAAAAAATTCTGGTAAGTGCGTCCTGGTTGTATAATAATTCTCAATTAGGTTTTTCGTTGGTTCCATTTGATAATTATGCCTGTAAAGACACAAGGCAAGAAAAGTATCCTCAACTTTTGGCAAGTGCGGTTGTTTTTCGCACCACTCTCTTAGTGATTGTATATCGGATAATTTCAATTGAGGATTCCTCTTCATTTCTTCTTTTAATGTGATACATTTCATTGTTGACATTCTACCTGAATTGCAAATTAAAGTTATTTTATTGAATTGGTAATGAGCAGAAAAATATCTGCAAAAAATTGATTACAAAAGAGTCAGCTCTTGTTATTTTAAATTTATTATGAAAAGTTTAACAATTAAGAAGAAATTCTGTAGAACTGGCTAGTCATTGATCAAAAATAAAATATTTTAAATAAACTATTTGATAAAGTTATTTTCTAGACGACTAGTCAGAAATCAATCATGTCAAGTAGGATGACTAAACTTAATTTATAAACCACTTAATTGAATATTTTAATTATTATTTCTTGAGAGAGAGAGAGAGAGAGAGAGAGAGAGAGAGAGAGAGAGAGATAAGAGAAAAATGAAAACTTTGTAAATATTTTAGAATGTTAATAATAGATCAAATTATTAAAATAATTTATTAGTTGAATTGTGTTGACATAAATTATGTATACAAATTCTCTTTTGAGCTTATTTTAATCGTGTTACTTTGAAATATGATTTGTAAGTATATATCTAATAATAATTGTTATATAATTAAGTTAGATGGAAGATTATAATGACTTGTTATATTTATATACACATACATGTTCGTTATTGGAAAGTCTCTTATTTATCACGAATATGAATATGACGTTTAATACTTATAAATATGATTTATGTAGATTAACGTACCTAAATTGAATGATAACATGAATAATTAATAAATTTAATACCTTACTGAGAAATACTTTCTTTCCTTCACAGTATTTTCCTTCCAAGTTTTTAAAGTCAGTAAAAACGTACAGAATAGTTCAGAGACTTGGGAAGCACTGCTGGAACTGATTTTGTATCAAATGTGCAATGTTCAATTTGTATTAATTGATTATAAAAGGTGGCGTGCTGAAAATTACGCGTGGAGTTTACGTGTGTAATTGCTATGAGCATTATACGATTACATTAACGTATGTGCGGCAAGGTTTCAGTAGCACTTCTCTGTGACACAAACAAGGAGCGTTTAATTAAAGAGTGTATAAAAAAATGAATATATATGCATATATATATTGAGCTATTGTAATCTTTTATTTATCTTATTTGTTACATAACAATTATTATCAAATTTATGCGTACAAATTGTATATTGCAAAATAATATAATTTTTGTGATAATTTGATAATTGAGTTATGCTTTACAAATCCTCTTTCTTATTTAGTTTTAGTAAACGTTGATATGACATAATTTATAAACATTTAAAGAATTCAAAAAATATGGGAAGCAAGTGAAGACGCAGGATGAATTTGCTTATAAATAGAATATTAATTGTATACAAAGATGAAAATAAAAATATACAATAACTTTCGTTAAGACACCGGACGTTTCGACCCTAGACGGAAAAAATACTTTTCTGAATCTAGATCTGAAAGTAATTTTTGTTCAATAATCAAAATATTTTGCGTAAAAGTCAAAATAATTGCTAGAGTATCAAAACGTTTTATAGCAATGCTTATCAGTTTTAACATTTCAATGAATTATTTTAATGATTTGATGAAAAAATATTTTCAAATTTATTTTTAGCAAAATTTTTAGACCTTTCAACAAAATCGTTCTTTCCGTGTAAAGTTATGTTTGTCAAACCAAGCGCCAATTGAAAACTTGATTCGCCAAGAATACAAATTTGATATTAACACTAAAAGCGGCTCACCCTCCGTGATCTCAGAACATCGTTTGTCTGAGAGTTATGATTTTGATTGAGATCATGTTTTAGACACAAATTTTAGATAAAGAACCTTCTTTAACTAAAAGAAGTATATCAGAAATGGTTTACGTAAAGAAACAATCGAACGGTTTAAACAAACAAAACGATACTGAAATCCTGTCTGACTCGTATCTTCTTATCGTGGATCTTTTTTTTCCTAAGTAACTACCATCTCCTTTTTTTCTATTCCCGCTCTTATCTTTTACCTCACTCTTCTTTCGATTTATTCACTTTATTTTGCTAACCGCGCGTTATAAAGTTATAAAAGTCTTTTATTTAATGTAATTGTAAGTCATAGACGGCTTTTATTTAAGTCGACGAGAGTAATATTAAAAAAATTAAGTATATTATAGTATATAAGAGCAATATATATATGTTTACTTAACAGAAAATATGCAGGGTGTGTTTATCTTGACAAATATCTCGAAAAATACGAAAGATACAAAAATATCTCACAATCAGATAAAAGCAATAAGATATGAAGCGGGATAAATAATGAGAAAATCAATTTATTTTTGTTTTAGAAGCTTAGCTACACATTTTCGCAAAAAATTGATTTTTCAAAGTTACATGCAAGGTCCTTCTACTTTTTTAAATGGAATGGTATCATTTTTAAAAAATAATATGGTTTCTCTAATTAATCTGCGTACAAAAGTATTAAAGTTAATTTATCGAAAAATGAATACCTTATAAGATATTTAGTACTTTATCATAGCATATTTTGACATGATATGAAATATAAAATATTTTGTAAACTATAATTGATTTTTGATAATTGTATCTTAATTATATAATTTATGCATAATTGTTTTACATAATTCTTTTAAATGAGTTTCAATTTTTTATTTGTTTATCGAATTTTATTTATGTCAATAAAGTTTTACAAACGTTAACAACTAATTAATTATTTTAATTGTCAATGTCTTTCTTCATTTTATTTTTTAAAAGTAATTTTGTTTAAAATACCTATCTTGAAAATTTTTCAGCTCAATATATAATAATAAATTAATTAAAGATAAAGGGTTATGAGCTAAAGCAGGGTGTTGTATGCTCTAATTAAAAGTAAATCATTTATTAAGATATAGTAGACAGACGTTCCAATCCAAATAGGATCATTTTCAATGTTAAAACGTAGAATTACTAATACATAGCCTTAAAAATAATATTCAGTCATCCTAATGGCCTAACTATATAAAAATTTATTTAAAAAAACAAACATAAACGGTCGACTAAAACGGTCAAGTAATGTAAAATTGTGAGAACTATTTATCGCATAAATTGACTACGATTAGGCGCAAGTTTTCAAATGCATGTCCGTCGTCTAGACAGTATATTCCCAAGCAGCACATCGGTATAACTATCTGACTAACGACCAATATTATATCAAATTCATATCAATTATATCAACAGAATTAGTAGATTTATAGTTGGAATTAATGTTGTCGTCATGTTTAGTAATATATTGGTCGACTTAAGAGACATCGTTGTTGCAAACGTTAAATGACGTTGCATCGTTGTCGGCCTTGTCGACGTCATTGTATCTATCCAAATCCGACGTCGGCAACGTCGGCAAAGCTGACGTTAGTTTTTTAAACTAAATTTGACCTAATGTTGACATCAGTTTAAGTTAGCTAATTCGACGTCGGCTCTGCCTACTAACTAAACTAAATCCATCCTAATGCCGACGTCGATTGAAGTCAGCTAAGCCGACGACGATATTTTGATCTATTATTAAACAAAGCCCAAGTGATGTTTCCTATTGCCACTAATTTTTACCAAAATCTGAACCAGGAAAAGTAAACGCGCATAATGTCTTCCAAATGACGGAGAATATTTGAGATTAATTCTATAGTATGTGAATTTGCTATCTTATTGTTAACAGTGCTCATAAACTAAGGTGATATTATAATGAATTCTTCTTGTGGAAAAAGACCATTTAATAAAAAATAATATAAAATAATTTAATATAAAAAATTTAAATAACTGCAGATACCGGCGAGCGCGACCTATCTGTGATAGGTCAAATTAAGTCTGTTCTTTTATACAAATAGTATAGTTAGTAAGTTTTAGGTACAGTTTACCATACTAATACTATACACAATTTAAAAGTAAGGATTTTGTACGATTAAGTATATCAATTTCGACTAAAGAACAAAATTGATAATGTTTATTACACTAAATATGACCAAAATACGATATTGGTAAGTTATTTTAACACTATCCGACTTAAAGTATATTATTTGTATATACTTTGATTATACAAATGATATTAATATATGATTAATAATACTATGATTATACAAATATTAACTTTAAGTCGACAAGTAAGTAAAATAAGTCGTCATTGCCAACCACGCCATTTTTATAAAGAAGTTATGAGCGGCCATAAGTGTATAAACCTATATCATATACATGACTAAAAATTTTTTAGCATTTTAGTACTTCTTTTAATCATAAAATATTTCTATTTATATTTACAAGTTAAATTTACTAATAGTATTATATTTACTGGTTTTATGATTAAAAAAATAAAAAATGAATTTTTAAAAAATAATAATAAAGTCTTATTTAAAAAAAAAAGTCTAATTTTAAAGGCGTTTTAATTTTTTCTGCTTATCTTGAACATGTTTGTTAGAAAAATTTGTTCCGTTTTGATTTTTTATACTCAAACACTTGAGATATTACTTTTAAAGTTAAAAATTTTGTTCAACATGCAATATATTCTTTCATTTTAATCTATTTTGTATATCTCGAACTTACTACACATTACGATAAAGTAGGTATACAATTGACATCTAATTTTTAATATAGTGTTGGTCAACTTCTCTATACAAAATATTATAATACAGTTTATGTATATAATTTCCTACTTAAATGATTGACTAGTTTCACTAGTTAGTTTAGGTTGTATTTGCCATACAGAATCTGATATCAGATAAAATATAAGCATTTATACATAATACAACTAAAAGTCGGG